TGTTCAAATTTATTCTAAGTGCTGTGTGAAATGCAAGAAAGGTAAGAGTAGCTTTAAATAAAGGATATTTATAATGTTCCATAGGGGTGTAAGAAAATAACGCTACAACTGAGTATTGCAATGTTATGTTTTATTCTACAGTATTAATTCTCAAAAACACTATCAAGTATGTTTTTTTACATTATTTATTTGCCTAATTTGTATACTGAAAGTGTCCTACAAGCATTTTTTTTTTTGACCAATGTAGGCACATGTTAATTCCCTGGCACAGATTGCACAAACAGATTGGGCGTTACAGGGACTGTGATAACTACAAATACAGATCCCGCTTATGTAATTGTAAAAAAAAAGTTCTTTATGACAGTTTTCCTAAAATTTTGTTTTAAAAAATCATATCATATCGCCAAATTCTTGCCAATACACAGCCCTACTGTCCCATTAGGGTGTAACACATCATTTTGTAAGGCTGTGTGAACATTTGTGTTGGTGTACTGCACCATCACATGAATCTGGAGGTATGTCTGTGCTACTGTTACGTGCAGCACATCCCGTAAGACTGGAATTAGTCTGACTTAATGACTTGTGCTCCTACACTAAAGTCATCAGCGCAAACTTAATCCTGAGGGCTAAATATGAGCGAGGGCTAAAAATAGTCCTCGTAGCTACAGTAACATGCGTAGCAGGATATGGTTGTCTGGTAGATGATGATGAAGAAAAGACCTAGAGAAGGGAGGGGGAGGAAGGAGAGACTGGGAAGAAAAGACAGGTGGTTTTATGCTCAACAGAAACCTGGACAGATAATTAAAAAAAAGCTCATCATTAAAGGTAAAAAATGACATTCATCTGAGTGTTTGACAGGAATACTGACATAAACAATCTCTATCCATGCGTAACGTCTTGCTTAGGTTAAGAAGCTTTTTGATTTTATAATACGGTGACAATAGGGATAAATTTGATATTTTTGTTGAGGTGTAATTTTGGAAGCACGTGACTTTCTCTGCAGCTCTCAAAACTGATTATATGTAGATTTGATGGACAAAGGAAGGATAGGTTTAGACATGAAGACTGGCAGACAGTAGGTACACGGTCTAAATAAATAGACAGCACAGACTAATGATGGATTGAGAATTTGATTAGAGAGTCAGAGAGATAAAAAGACAGGATCTAGCTCCATCATTAATGCTGTCTGTCCGCAAACCCTAATTATAAGTAAACGCAGTGCCCTCTCTCTCCCTCGCTCCATCTCTAGCCTCTGTTACTAACCCCACACAATGCTCGACAATCTGAACAAAGCTTCCCTGAGGCCCCTAATCTAATAGAGCAGTCTCTGCAAGACATCCACACACACGTATACACACACACACACACCAGCCAACAGAGATGGTAGGACAGAGTCAGGAGGGAACGATGAGGAAGCGATGGAGAAAAAGGACATGTAGTCAGATAGAGGAGATAAATTGGACACTGAGTGAGGAATGACACAGAGAGGGAGCTTTTATTTTCCCAGTCTCCCAGGGCTGTGTGGTGTGGTGTTCATCATGAAGGGGCTCTGGTGGGACCTCATTGTTCTCTCCTTTGTGTGTGTGTGTGTTTGTGTGTGTGTCCATCTGCTGTTAGCCCCTGTTGGGCCCAGCCTGTTTTATCATGCCTGTGTGAGGGTGCCCACTCTGATCCTGCAGTACAGTTAACACTTCTGAAGCAGTGTATTGATTTGGGGGGGGGCTGGTTTACGACACAGAGGCTGGTGCAGAGCTGTGCAACATAGACAGGTCAATATGACCTATGCAAATAGTCACAACAAGGTAATGTTCAAATTGCACCAGTCAACTGACCTCTGTGTGTGTGTGTGTGTGTGTGTGTGTGTGTGTGGCTCTTCTCTGTTCTGATAGTGTGTGAACACTGTGTACCATTGCTAGTTGTGATGCCACTGGTTGTTGTTGTACTGTGGGTTGCTTACTGCATGCTGTCACACTTGATTAACAAATAAGAACATGCAATACACAGGCAAGATTAAGTTTGTACATGTATTTCAACTATAATGACTAAAGTCTTGCCAGTGGAGGATACAATCATAGAGATGTTAAACTTGACTAATTAAAATGGAATTGAAAGTGAAACCTGTCTGCGCTTTCTTTAAAGCCAGACGCCAATATTAAGGAGTTTTTTTGTGCAAATGTACTGAAGCACTGAGCATACGACTGGAGCTGTGTGAAACAAATGTTTTCATATAGTTTTGCTGTTGCTAAACTTGGTCCCCAATCAAACCATAAAACAACTGGTGCTTCTCAAAGACAAGGACGAGACCTTTAACCACTAAATTTCAAAGAGACTACGTCATCAAATCCTTCCAAAGGACTATTCCAATGTCAGGTATCATTCCAGTTCTACCAAGTACTGTGTCCATTCTTCAGACAATTTTACAGAGATTTTTCAAGGGTGCACGTGTGTATCTTAAGTGGGCATGAAGTACCCACAATTCTTTGTGCACTATTTGCTGGAATTGAAGGCAGGGCCTCTTCAGTGACGCACACCTGGGCACTCAACAGCCTGTTACATTGTGTGTTCACCGAATGCCAGGAAGGAGTCTTGCCTAGCTTGTGTTGGACCTGATGTGCAAGAATGTAAGAGAGCATCCTTGACTTTGAGAAGCACTAATTATGATGCCATTTTCTGTGGAGGCATGCAAAAAAAAAAAAAAAGAAGTTTTCTTCCCAAATTCAAGGTCACATAAAATGTGGATGAGGTTTTCCTTTAAAGGGAAGTTAAAAAAGGCAACATGCTTGATTTATTCTGTTGAGGACAGTTGATGTCTAATAGAGAAAATGAACGAGTGAGAGGTCAATTTCAAGTTAGCTCCTTTTTTTATTTAACCAATCATTCACTAAATTAACCCAGGATCTATATTTCAAAGATATTGTCAGGGGTGTGCACAGACATTTTGAGGGGCTATCGCTCTCTCCACTCGAACTTTCTGGCTCTTTCTCTCTCTGTGGTCTCTCTCTTACATGTACTCTAGCCTGCTGCCTGTGTATTAGCCATCTAGCTAGCTAGCAAGGATAGGTTCATGTGATAGTATAAGGCAATATTGTACAATGTGATACGAATGTGACAAGCAGCACATTGTTCGGAAGAAAGTGGAGATTAATCACAGGGCATCCCAGTGGTTATACCTTTTCTCTTTAATCATTTCCACAACTCAGAAACACTGGAACCCTCAATGGTCAGCAATCATTGAGGGTTCCATCAGTGCCACAGGACAGGGGTCATAGCACATTGCTTTGTCAGCACTGTCAACTCAAATATTCATGAGCTACTTGTGTTTCTCTTTTACAACAGCAAAAAATAAAATGTTTTTTCCTCCAGAGTGGCAGCACTGCCAAAGAGGGCAAATGGGCCGTCTCTTAGGTAACTTTAGCAAGTACCTGTACACGTCCCTGGACATCAGACACATCAGACATTTCATATGCACTGGCCTGGCTCTTGCCACAGTTAGCATCAGCGTGGTCTTATATAATGCTGCCATCTATCAGAGGGAGACAAGTGAACTAAAGAGACAGCCTGTCTGAGACTCCAGGCTGCGGCCATGCCCAAACACACACACATGCGTGCACACAGAATGTTTCTCTATCTGCAGGGTCACGATTTCTATCATCCCATCTCTTGAGCCAGGTCAGGGCCAATCACAGTCTGCCGCACAGTTTTGCGTGGACCAATCAAAATCAAGTAAATGCTTTGCCAAGGCCAGGGATAGCATGTTAAATCATCTCCTAATTTTTATACGCTGTCAAAGCCAAATATTCAATATCTAAGAGAATCTTTTAGCCGAACTCTTAATGTACTGTAAGTCAAACTCAGTGACTAAGTAGTGACCTTGTAACCTTTTTATCTCGAATCTCCCTTTTAAAGGGAAACACCACCTCAATTAATAATCCAGTATATTATTTTCAGGGCCAGAGAAAGTTCAGTCAGCATTTGTGAACATGAGCCATCTCCAGAGAAGAAACCAGAGAACTAAATCTCAACCTTGTGATGTCATCAAGTGTAAAGTCTGGAGCTGCTTCAGAGACAATTAGCAGTAGCCTGATTTCATTGGCCCACACAATGTACCCAAATGAGCTTTATTCTAGTGTAGTGTTCTCAGCTCTGAAACAGAAACTGTACTGATATACTCAGAGCATTCCCCTGGGTCCATCATCTATAACATCTTTCCCAATTAATTGTCAGTGGAGCAGTACAGACTTTATACTTGACATCACAAATTATAGTTTTAGCACTGTGGTTTTTGGATTTGGGAGAGAATGGTTCATGTTTACTAATCTTTTTAGACTGCCTTCGACTACAAGAGTAACATGTATGACTTTTTAAGATGTGCGTAGTTCCCCCTTGAGTCCACAGCATGACTGTGGGTACAGACAGCAGGAGATGAGTCTGGCTTTATTGAAGTGCGTGCAACAGAGGGGGTTGCATGCATGAGACTTCAGTGAGTGTGGTCACTCTCGTGCAACCCACAGGAGGCAGAGTATTGAGTCACTGAGGGGTCGGGTGAATCGCAGAATATGTGAATGCTGTGGAGCACTAAAGCTCTACATCATTCTGCCTCAGTAAAGATTGAGTTTGGCAGCTTTCTATCTGCCATAGCACTTATTCATTTCAAATGAAAGCGTTTGGGTCAGAGAAATTTGTCAGAAAAGTTTTGTAAGATAGTTACATTTGACTGTATTTAAAAAAGGAGCCAATGGAAATGAAATTCAGTGAACAGAAACTTAATGTAGAGCCAAGCAACAATTCACCAGGTTTTTTCGTCACTCAGGTTTGAGATACCCTGCATTAGACCTTTTTTAATGCTTAAAAAATGACTATTAATCTTAAGAACATGTTACTAAGAATTGGTCATTTTTGGTAGAGGTTTGTGCTTTTCAGGTGCCTCCTAGTTTTCCATGGTTTTGTCTCATGTCCAGCATCTAACCCTTTCCGCAAACTTTCTTCTCTCTTTTTTGTAGTGGAGCTAGACACGGAGCATGCACAGAGAGTCCCTGGGGCAGAACAGGGAGGGGCCCCGGCCCCACAGGTCAAGCTGAAAGAAAGGCAGAAGTTCTTTGAGGAGGCTTTCCAGCAAGACATGGAGCAGTACCTGTCCACTGGCTACCTGCAGATTGCTGAGAGGAGAGGTGAGGTCAGAAGTTCACCAGATACTACAGTCATGCTCTCTGATTATATTTTAACAGCTTGAAATTTAGCACATCTTTTGGCCTGCAAAGAGAGAAAGGAAAATGTTAAGGTTTAGGTTGTGGTGTCTGTTACTTATTCAGGGGTGAATGCAAAGCCATCCAGCATTCAAATGAATTAATTCCACAGTCCTGATACCATCAGCTGAAACCTTCACACTTCAGCTGCATATCACAAGATTGAGCCATAATAGCTTTTCTGCAGCGAGGCTCCACACACTGAGTGCCTGCCGCTAAACACACAAGTAGAGCCATTACTATGAAAAATGCCATCGCGCCATATAAATGTAGTCTTCCGCTGGGATTGTAATAGAATCCTGCTGCAGTTTACCCCATGTATTACTGCCAAACGCCTGTGCTAAAATACCCAAAGGATGTGCTGAAATGAGGGGCTGCATGAGATATGCACCCCACACTGAAAGATGTATTGGACTCCGCTGGCCCAGAGTTTGTAATGTGATTTTTCTTCTTCTTTTACTCATCTATCCTGCTCCCTTAATCCTCTGGAAATGGCTTATTAGAGAGGATTGTGGAGCAGTAAGGAAGGAGGGGAGATGGAGCGAATGGAAAGAGACTTAAGAAGAGGAGAGGGGCAGACTTACATCTTCACTGTCACTCAATACAGCTTTATTTATTTTATTTTTTTAAGTGCAGTGTTTTTCATAATCTCCATGACAAAAACAATCACCAAAGCCAGGTTTGAGGTACAATATATGAAATATTCACAGCTCATTAGCTCATAGTCAGAATCTCGTGTCGCCTACATTTCATTCATGGTAAAAAGACAGAGGAGATGTTTAATTCACAGTACAAAGGCTAGTATGTGGGCTGCTCAACAAAAATCCACAGCAGACCAATTCGAATCAACCAGTCATAATTGCTTTAAGAATATTTGTAATTAGTTACAGACGAGGATCGCATCATAATTCTGGTGAAATACATCTGAAAATAAGGTTGTGGTGTAAGAGCTGAATGACACTCAGCACACTGTCATCCTTCATGCAGCTACAAATCCCTGCAGCAGGGCGGTGCTAGTGAGGAGCAAAAGACATAACTGGAGACAAGACAGGAGAGATACAGAGAACAAACTGAAAGGAGAAAGTCAAGAAAAAGAGAATAAGAGCTGTGGATGTCAAGCCACTGAGCCATCAAAAGCCAGTCTCAAGGGTTTTATACACACTCACACACACACAAATATATATATACTCTCTGCAGTCTCACTGCAAGCAAAAACAGCCCTTCCCAGCAGGAGATCCTTTTAGGCAAGGTCACAGTAGGGCTAAAAGAAGAACATGCTTGAGGCAGTCACATGGAAATGATGTTCTCAACACAGTGCTTTCTGGACCAAGACTTTCACAACATAGCCATAGTGTTGGTTCAAGTGTGTGTGTGTGTGTGTGTGTGTGTATGAGGGGTCAAACGTTTCACCCAACCACACTACAACGCGTCACTTGCGCCTACTTAGCACACATCAGATCTAATCAAACCGCATGCGCGCACGCCTACATTTTACATAGGGTTACTATGGAGACACGAGTGTTACACACACGGCTGCTACATGACGCGCAGGCGTTGTGCGCTCCACTCACAAGATGCGCTCACACGTCTTATCAGTACGCGTGCACAGCGCGTTACAAACGCTACACATACACTACACCTGCGTGTCTACGCACGCACGTCCGATTAGCAGAGTTAGCATAGCGATGCTACGTGTCACACGTCCGTAACACGACGCGTTGTTGCTTCAAGAGTTGACACTTTTGACCACTGTGATACATGACGTGTCTACGCACGCACGTCTGATTAGCAGAGTTAGCATAGCGATGCTACGTGTCACACGTCCGTAACACGACGCGTTGTTGCTTCAAAAGCCGACACTTTTGACCCCTGTGATTACATGACGTGTCTACGCACGCACGTCTAATAACCACACGTCTAGGCGTGTGCAGGCATTGCACGCGCATTNTCAGTACGCGTGCACAGCGCGTTACAAACGCTACACATACACTACACCTGCGTGTCTACGCACGCACGTCCGATTAGCAGAGTTAGCATAGCGATGCTACGTGTCACACGTCCGTAACACAACGCGTTGTTGCTTCAAGAGTTGACACTTTTGACCACTGTGATACATGACGTGTCTACGCACGCACGTCTGATTAGCAGAGTTAGCACAGCGATGCTACGTGTCACACGTCCGTAACACGACGCGTTGTTGCTTCAACAGCTGACACTTTTGACCCCTCTGATTACATGACATGTCTCCGCATGCACGTCTGATTAGCATAGCAAGCTAGTTAGCATAGCGATGCTACGCGTCACACGTCCGTAACACAACGCGTTGTTGCTTCAACAGCTGACACTTTTGACACCTGTGATTACATGACGTGTCTACGCATGGACGTCTAATAACCACACGTCTAGGCGTGTGCAGGCATTGCACGAGCATTGCATGTGTAACAAGTACACGATGAATGCACGAGCAGTGCACAAGAAGCAAGTACACGGTGATGGTTACACACGCAATTTACACGTATCAAGTACGCAGTGAATGCAGTGTGTGTGTGTTTGCTGATACGTTTGACCCGTCATACACGACGCGCTCATACGTCTTATCAGTACGCGTGCACAGCGCGTTACAAACGCTACACATACACTACACCTGCGTGTCTACGCACACACGTCCGATTAGCAGAGTTAGCATAGCGATGCTACGTGTCACACATCCGTAACACGACGCATTGTTGCTTCAAGAGTTGACACTTTTGACCCCTGTGATACATGACGTGTCTATGCACGCACGTCTGATTAGCAGAGTTAGCATAGCGAAGCTACGTGTCACACGTCCGTAACACGACGCGTTGTTGCGTCAACAGCTGACACTTTTGACCCCTCTGATTACATGACGTGTCTACACACGCACGTCTGATTAGCATAGCAAGCTAGTTAGCATAGCGTTGCTACGTGTCACACGTCCGTAACACGACGCGTTGTTGCTTCAACAGCTGACACTTTTGACCCCTCTGATTACATGACGTGTCTACGCACGCACGTCTGATTAGCATAGCAAGCTAGTTAGCATAGCGATGCTACGTGTCACATGTCCGTAACACGACGCGTTGTTGCTTCAACAGCCGACACTTTTGACCCCTGTGATTACATGACGTGTCTACGCACGCACGTCTAATAACCACACGTCTAGGCGTGTGCAGGCATTGCACGCGCATTGCATGTGTAACAAGTACATGGTGAATGCACGCGCAGTGCACGCGAAGCAAGTACACGGTGATAGTTGCACACGCAATTTACACGTATCAAGTACGCAGTGAATGCAGTGTGTGTGTGTGTTCGCTGATACGTTTGACCCCTCATAGTGTGTGTGTGTGTGTGTGTGTGTGCAGTTTTGTTGATTTTTATTCATATGCTGGAAAGACAGCTCTATCTGAGAACTGAATCAACATCCTGCATACTATGTTTTGTGAGACTGAATAGCTGTTATGTGGTGGTAATTGCATAGCTGACAGGCGAGATGTAGAAATGCACATGAGAAGAGGCTGCATACTGAGAAGTTATTAGCGAGCATTAGACCCTTGTTCCTCTAAGATGTGTCTCTTTCTTCTGCTCTCCCTCTCTGTGCCACCCTCTTCTGCTCTCCTCATTTCCTTGAGGTACGGTAGCCAATGGCATCTTCACTCAGTGCTTTGTGCCGACCAATCATCTCCCTTCTTGCTCTTGTGCTCTCATCTCTGCCCCCCAACCCCCTATCATCCCCACAGTGCACTTGCTGTTTGTGATGCATGCAGCACATCATGATAGTGAATAGGGGGGTTATTACCCCTGCAAGGAGGTGAATCCAGGACTGTAGTAGTTAGTGTATTAGCTGGGGTGTAAGAGGAGTTTCCACTGATGTTGATGTATACTGATGATTTAGCTCTACAAGCTAGTTAGCCAGTTCCAATGTTTGTTCAATCACGTTCATATAAAACATATAGCCTCTGACTTTCAGTCAATTCGAATTCAGTGAGTGTAAACCCTAGCGCCAGGTGTCACAACGGGCTGATGACAGCAGCAGCGCTGGGTCTAACCTGTGTAACTGCAGCAACAGAAAGTTTGCTGATCTGGTGGGGAGTCTGGGCAGTTCATAATCAGACCCCTGTCAGTGGGATTCATGCTGGCTAAATCTGAGTCACAGTTTGAGTCTTACAGTCACTCACTAGAGGTTGTACCTGTAAGAGATGACATATTGTTATTCGAGGCTCTGGCAAGCTACACAGACATCAACCTTGAATTAGCTGCAGTCGTGAGACTTTGGCTACAGTTAGCAGAAGGCTAAACTATTAGCAACATTTTCTCTTCATTTCTGAAACATTTTGTCGATATTGACAGGTATTGTTTTGGGCTTATTGTTAATCTCCTCTTGAGAGTTTGTCTTGTTTTGAGGTTGCCTTGCAGTGTAGTTGCCAGTAGTAGTGTAGTTGCCAGTGCTGGAGTAGCAACTTTTTTGGCATAATTGCTCACCATGGAATCAGACTGTCACCATCTGAAGGGACATGCACCTGTATTTGTAGTCTCTAGTCACAGGTTAAATCTTCTAAAGCCTGAAAATAGACCCAAGAGGAGGTGCAGAAGTCTAGTTTTCTCTTAGTCCACTTGAATTACAATAGGCTGAGAGTTACGGGAATTTTGCCCAATGACGCCGAAATAAAAGTGCCTTCCACAGCTTTAAGGTAAACCAATTTGAACCAATCCTTGAATGAAATTGTAGGTATTGCCTGTCGCCTCATATACAGCTTTCCACATGCAGTGACACCTGGCAATCCATTACTTGTGTTAATGCTTTACATCATAAGGTTAAACAAAATGCTTTATGTACACAAGCTTACCCATTTCAAATGCCATCCAGCTTGAATGTGCCCATTTGCTTCTGCTTGGCAAATTTTGAGACAAATAAACTGAAAGTGCTTGTCTTCCTGGACTCAGCCCCTTGCTGCTGCCCTCTTCAATGCTGTGTGAGGTTTAATATCTTTACTGTCCTGTGTCGTGTCCAGAGCCAATAGGAAGCATGTCGTCCATGGAGGTGAACGTTGACATGCTGGAGCAGATGGATCTGATGGACATGTCTGACCACGAAGCTCTGGATGTGTTTCTGCACTCTGGGGGAGAGGACAACAGTGCCGCCTCACCTGTCACAGGTAGGTGCCCCCCCATTCATTTAAACTATAATAAGTCATACAGCACTTACTAACTGAGGGGAAATAACTTTCTGTAGATAATCCATCTCAAAGAATTTGCTGAAGCAGAAATATGAGACTCAGAAGATTGACAGGAGCAATGTTTAGGCACGATGCATCAACACCATCTGTCCACATCTGCTTGGGAAAATTCCGGTCGCAGTGAACATCCTACAGCATCTTACTGACAGCTCAGTCTTCATCTAAAAATAATTTGATGCAAGAATATCTCTGCTACAGTTTATATGTCTTCAGGCGACAGAGCCTGGACAAATCCTTTCAAGTTTAAACAAATCCTATTAAGTAATTCCAAAAACTACAACAGTGCCCTCCTTTTATTTGCGGCTGCTGGTCCAAGATAGCAAATAAGTAATTAATAATAATAAATAATGGAGTTGATTTTTTTTTCTCCCATCCTATCCTGCTATGTGACTCCTTATCTTAATGACTCCTCTTCCTCCCAGGTCCAGACGTTGAGTCCTTCACCACTGAGATCAGTCTCCAGGTTCCCACCCAGGCCGAGCTACGCCACAAGCTTTCTTCCCTTTCATCCACCTGCACCGACTCAGCTAGCCAGGACACAGAGGCTGGCGATGAAGATGAGGACGAGGAGGAGGAGGAGACTGAGCAAGGAGGAGGCAGTGGATCAGGGGGAGGAGGAAGGAGGAGAAGGCCCCCCGTGGTGGTGACCCTTGACGAAGAGGAAGTGCACCCCGATACAGCGTTGGTGGACGGGGTAGACCGAGAGGACCAGACCAGCAAAGACAGTGAGGCGAGCAGGCCGAAGGTTTGAGGACACATGAACTGGATTTAAACACAAACACACAGAGCTGCAAAATCAAACTGCGATATATATCAATATTGGCTTCTTTCTTATATTGTCTGGAGAAAACCGTGTGAAAGAAAGACACTGAGGTTGCACTAACTGCCACATGACCTTGCCTTAAAAGACCACTGGTGTGAGTTCTCAATTCGAATTGAATCCTGTAAAATAAGTTTGAGTTCCCTTTAGCATTATAGCATTAAATGGCTTAACAAGCACATGAATAGTTCGAAATAATTCAGAGAATACTCTAATTCTGTGTGTGTTCATGTTGAGACCAGGTGAGGCCCGTTACTGAAAAGTGATGTGGACAAAGAGAAGAATACGTGAAAACCATCCATGTGTCCTTTTTGTGGGTCTTTGTTTTAATGCTCAATGCTAACACTTAGATACTCACTAAACTACAGGTGATATGTGATGGAGACTGGTGAAACTTTTGCTGAATATAAATAATGGGTTTTGTACCAAATACTTGCCAAAAGGAAAAGAGTTTCACCAGCTCTGTCAGGTTTGTGGCATTTTAATTTTAGATCTTACTGCAGGACACAAAAGTAAGTCCTCAATGTTGTCTCCCAGTTAATTGAAAACAAAATCCCTACATTACCTCAAGTGGTATCTAGCAGTGTGGATAGTTTTGCCCATGATCTGACATACTTGTCATCAAAGATACCTGCTGCTAACCCAGTGCGATGGAGGTAAAGAGAATATTGTTTTTAATGCTTAAAACTTTGAAGCATTACCTTTAAAAACTTAACTTGTACAGAAACAATATCCTGGTTATGCTGAATCAAGCCTCAACAATTGTGACAGGAACAATTTCTTTGGTATCTCAAATCCTGAAATAAATAAAAAGGGCACACATAGACCTCCAAGGCCAAATGCCATATTTCGCAATGTTAAAGGTGCAATATACGCGTGATCGTACTGTTAGCTCTGTCAGCACTGTTGCTGTTGTTGCTACTGTTAGGCTTTTAGCACTGTTATACCATTAGCATAACACCTTTCCACAGAACGCTCACACTCAGGTTGACCCCGTGAGTGTGAGTTAACCCCTATTAATACTGTTAGCACTGCATTTCCAGCTGCCACCATTTTGGCAAAAGCCACTTCCATGTTTGCTTGTGATATCTGAAGTGAAAGCCGAGCTCTTTCCTGGCTCAGGCTAGTAGTTTTTCCGCAGTTCTGCTGACAGACCTACACACAAACTAAGCCGAACGCATGACTTCCTAGGCGGAGGTATTAAAGGCTAGCATGACTAGATTTTTGTAATTTGGGCGAATTGAGCCTTTAACATAGCAAGCAAATGCTAAATAATTAGCAAAGAGCACTTGACAAATGATCTGCAAGGGATGCATGGATGATTTTTTTCATGACTTTATAGATAAGCTGAACCCCAAAGCATTTCTTTAACCAGATTCTGCAATATTTTAAATGCAAAGTACCGATTCATTTGTGCCATCAGCTCTGATAAACGTGGCAGGCACTTGGCAGTGGGTTATATACCACATAGTACTGTATGTTGGACAGACTGGTGTTCAGGTACCTAGATATTAATTATTTAACACACACACACACACACACACACACACACACACACACACACACACACACGCAGGAGAGTTACCCATTGCCATTCCTTTGACCAATAATATTTGGGTAAACTTCTCCCTTTGATCGAGGACCAAATCCCTGTTTGGACTGTGTGCTATGCACTGGACAACACCCAGAAGGTTGAACTGTATCCAGACTTTTTTGTACAGAAATGTTGACATTTGTGCGATGTGACAGCATTACTCCTTCCTTTCTTTTCCCCTGCCTACAATTTCTGACTTGTTGGTAATAAATGTTTCTCCCCCAGCATTGTTTAATTTTCATCGCAGCATTTCAGGAACGACTTAAAATATGAAATGTGAGCAGGATTTAGGGTTTGAGCATGTTAACAGTCCCTGTGCGCTCACTCTTGATTTACAGACCTGCCTGAGCTCTTTATAAATCGAAAGCTGACACAGCGAGGGAATGGATAGGTGGACAGAATCGAAAAGGCTTTAAAATGTAGGGTCTTTGTCATTGTTACGGTTGAATGTTTTTTAACTGAAAAATAAGGACAAACAATACTAGTTTTATGCTGAGAGTGAATGACATTTGAAGGCCGAGCATGGATGTGTTGGTTTATTGTGAATACTAAACCACTGGTGTAAATGCGTGACAGTCATTCCAGTGCACTTTAATTAAGGTTATGAAGAACGACAGGGCCCTCTAACAGTTTTGCATGTACAATTTGTGGTGTGTGAATAGAGCAATAAGCTCTGTGTAAAATGAACACAATAGCACTTTAGTATATCCCACTGCTGCTGCTGCTGCTTATTGTGGAACGTGATAATGTCATGGTGCATCCTTGTTTGCACCTTTTACCTACGGATAAAGGTTTCTCACTCTAGTGTGATATGTGTATTGTGAAAGTATCAATTAGCCCAAATTACAACAAAACACTTTCCCACCCTAACCCCTAGTGGTATCTTTATAGCAATGCAGATAGTTTATGTTTTTATTTCACCCGTAGGATTTCTGCCTTCACCTCAATACAATGAAGGTGCTTGAAAATTTGTTCATGGTGCTCACAGGCTTGAGAAGTAACAGCAATGTGCCTTGGCAAAAATGTCACTGTTACTCAAAACAATCCAGAGGCCTCACTGTCAACAGTTTTTAAAGGAACAATGATCTACTAAATAAATACTTCCATTAAAGACTGCTGATAATGAGGACTGTGGATTATCCGCATGGCTAAACACAGGCTACAGCTAACGATTACTTTCATTATCAATGAATCGATAAGTTGAGTGAGTAGGCAGTAGTGAATGAGTGAATGATTTCAGACTATGTACTATAATATGACTTTTTCATAAAAATGATTGGGCATTTTTCTTTTATTATGATTTTTTTTTAAGTACGATGACTTTTTTTCACATTTATGGCATACTATACTATGACTTTTTAATAACATTTTTGACAACATACTATACTATGACTTTTTAATAACATTTTTGACGACATACTATACTATGACTGTTTTAATGACATTTCTGACAACATACTATACTATGACTTTTTTAATGACATTTTTGGCGACATACTATACTATGACTTTTTTATGACATTAGTGACGACATACTATACTATGATGTTTTTATGGGGTTTTTGACGACTGACAAAACTATGACTTTTCTTTGATGTTTTTGAAGACATACTTTACTATGACTTTGTTCTGACAATTTTGATGACATAATATACTATGACTTTTTCTATGACATTTTTGACTACATACTATACTATGATGTTTTTATGGGATTTTTGACGACATACTATACTATGATGTTTTTATGTCATTTTTGATGACATACTATACTATGACTTTTTTATGACATTTGTGACGACATACTATACTATGACTTTTTTATGTCATTTTTGATGACATACTATACTGTGACTTTTTTATGTCATTTTTGATGACACACTGTACTATGACTTTTTTATGACATTTGTGACGACATACTAGACTATGACCTTTTTATGATATTTTTAACAACATACTATACTACGGCTTTCTATCACTTTTTTGACAACATACTATACTGTGGCTTTTTATGACATTTTTGACGACACACTATACTATGACTTTTTTATGACTTTTTTGACGGCATACTATACTATGACTCTTCATGACATTTTTGACGACATACTATTGTATGACTTTTTTGTGACATATTTGACGGCATACTATACTATGACTTTTTTTTGGTATTTAGATGACATACTATACTATGACTTTTTTATGATATTTTTGACCACATACTATACTATGACTTTTTTTATGTCATTTTTTGACGGCATACTATACTATGACTCTTTATGACATTTTTGACGACATACTATTCTATGACTTTTTTATGACATTTTTGACCACATACTATACTATGACTTTTTTATGATATTTTTGACCACATACTATACTATGACTTTTTTTTTGGTATTTTGACAACATACTATACTATGACTTTTTTATGATATTTTTGACGACATACTATACTATGACTTTTTTATATTTTTGATGACATACAAAACTATGACTTTTTTATGACATTTTTGACGACATGCTGTACTATGACTTTTTTATGATATTCTTGACAATATAATACACTATGACTTTTTTATGACATTTTTGACAACATACTATTCTATGACTTTTTTGTGACATATTTGACGGTATACTATACTATGACTTTTTTTGTGACATTTTTGACGACATACTATACTGTGACTTTTTTATGACATATTTGATGACATACTATACTATGACTTTTTATGACATTTTTGACGACATACTATACTATGACTTTTTTATGATATTTTCGACGATATACTATACTATGACTTTTTTTTTTATGACATTTCTGACGACATACTATACTATGACTTTTTTATGATATTTTTGATGACATACTATACTATGTCTTTTTTTTATGGCATTTTTGACGACATACTATACTATGACTCTTTTATGATATTTTCGACGATATGCTATACTATGACTTTTTTTTATGACGTTTCTGACAACATACTATACTATGACTTTTTTATAATATTTTTGATGACATACTATACTATGACTTTTTTTGATATTTTGACACATACTATACTATGACTTTTTTATATTTTCGTCGATATACTATACTATGACTTTTTTTATGACGTTTCTGACGACATACTATACTTTGACTCTTTCGTGACATTTTTGATGACACACTATACTGTGACATTTGTATGACATTTTTGACAACATACTATTCTATGACTTTTTTATGACATATTTGACGGCATACTATTCTATAATTTTTTTCATGACATATTTGATGGCATGCTATACTATGACTGTTTATGACATTTTTGATGACATACTATATTATGACATTTTTATGACATTTTTGACGACATACTCTTCTACGACTTTTTTTTATGACCTATTTGACGGCATACTATACTATGACTTTTTTATGGCATTTTTGACGACATATTATTCTACGACTTTTTTTTATGACATATTTGACGGCATACTATACTATGACTTTTTTTTGACATTTTTGACAACATACTATACTATGACTTTTTTTCTGACATTTTTGACAACATAGTACACTATGACTTTTTTATGGCATTTTTGACGACATACTATACCATGACTTTTTTTTGACATTTTTGACGACATTCTATTCTATGACTTTTTATGACATATTCGACAGCATACTATAGTATGACTTTTTTATGACATTTTTAACCACATACTGTACTATGATGGCATACTATACCATAAAGTTTTTTTTTACTTTTTCTATTTCATCATTTATGACATACTTGACAGTTTTGACGACATATTATACTATGACTTTTTTCATGACATATTTGATCACATAATATACTATGACTTTTAATGAAATTTTTGACGACATACTATACTATGACTTTTTTATGACATATTTGACGACATACTATACTGTGACTTTTTTATGACATATTTGACGACATACTATACTGTGACTTTTTTATGACATATTTGACGACATCCTATACTGTAACTTTTTTATGATATTTTTGACAACATACTATACTGTGACTTTTTTTATGACATATTTGATGACATAATATACTATGACTTTTTATGACATTTTTGACGACATACTATATTATGACTTTTTTATGATATTTTTGACGGCATACTATACTATGAATTTTTTTGACATATTTGATGACATACTGTAATTATGACTTTTTTTATGACATTTTTGACGATATACTGTACTATGACTTTCTATGATATTTTTGACCACATACTATTATATGACTTTTTTATGACATATTTGATAGCATACTATACTATGATTTTTTTTTTTATATTTTTGACGACAAACTATACTATGACCTTTTTTTTGATATTTTGACAACATACTATACTATGACTTTTTTATGACATTTTTGGCAACATACTATACCATGACTTTTTTTTTTATGACATTTTTGATGACATACTATTCTGACTTTTTTGTGACATATTTGACGACATACTATACTGACTTTGTTATGACATTTTTGACAGCATAGTATTCTATGACTTTTTTATGACATATTTGACGACATACTATACTATGACTTTTTTATGACATTTTTGATGACATACGGTGTTATGACTTTTTTAGTTACATGCATATTATAGTTTGACATTTTAAATTACATTTTTTGGCATACTATACTATGACTTTTTAAATTTCATCTTATGGCATACTATAATATTACTTTTACTTACACCTTTATGGCAAACTATACTATAACGTTTTTAATTACATTTTTTGGCATACTATTCTATGACTTTTTATTTACATTTTTATTGCATACTACACTATGACTGTTATGGCATACCAGACTTTAAGTTACACTTTTATGGCATACCATACCAGTTACAGTTTTATTGCATATTAGACTTTTATTTACCTTTTTATGACATACTACACTTTTTTACATTACATTTATGTGAAATACTGTACCATGACTTTTTTTTTTTAGATAAGACTGTTAGGGCATACTAATGTGTGACTATTTTTCTTTGGCATACTATACTTTGACTATTTTAATTACTTTTATATGGCAAACTTTACTATGAGTTTTTTAAAATTACACCCCTGGCATAATTTACAATTACTTATTTTCTATTATTATTGCAAACTGTACCATCAATTTTTAAAATGACATTATGGCATACTATAATATGAGTTTTTGAATTACATTTTGTAGCATACTATACTGTGACTTTT